AATAATAAAACTCTGATAACATAGAAGTTTAGGAAACTACTGGTGTGTTAACACACACACAAACACAAGATGGAAATAAGAATAAACTCTGATAACATAGAAGTTTAGGAAACTACTGGTGTGTTAACATACACACAAACACAAGATGGAAATAAGAATAAACTCTGATAATATAGAAGTTTAGGAAACTACTGGTCTGTTAACATACACACAAACACAAGATGGAAATAAGAATAAACTCTGATAACATAGAAGTTTAGGAAACTACTGGTGTGTTAACACAAACACAAGATGGAAGTAATAATAAACTCTGATAACATAGAAGTTTAGGAAACTACTGGTGTGTTAACATACACACAAACACAAGATGGAAATAAGACATAATCCATATTATACGTAAAGAAGGATCTTGATTCTTCTGGTAAAAGGTTACACACTACAGTTTCTCTGAGAGGAAGGTTATAATTAACGTTGGGTATTAAATAAGTCAATTTAAGTCAGACTCTAGTTCGAACCGTGCAATGTAAGGAAATCATGGAGATGTGGGGGGGGGGCACGGCCTGAATAAGAGTTGTCAAGCATGATTACATGTAAATTAGGCTGGTATATATGTCCATTTGTAACAACGAACCACGTTCGAGTTGTGCTATCAAAATGGCTACAAGGTGTCGCTTCGAGCATAACGCTGTAGGATCAACACGAGACGTTGGACATGCATAACTAACATCGTCAACAGATTAGTTAGCAATTTCTGTAACAAACACAAACTCTTACGGTATGGGTGCGTTTGATGCGTCATATTCGTGCACGAATTGTTTAGTCTAATTTTCACTGATCCCCCACCCCCACCCCGTGTTTGACCTCTGTTGACAACCGATTAGAAAGCTGCCGGAGGACGTAAATCTTTGACCTTAAACCTGAGGTTCGGGTGACCCCAGGGGAGGTGTCCAAATGAAAGCAGTGATTGCTATGATGGTGTTCCCTAGTGTCAGTTTTAGACATCAATGAAATGGATCCCTTTAATTTATTATGCACGTACACAAAATATCTTGTCCGTGAAATACAAACTGTTTCAAACTTCATATTTACATCGACGAATATTCCAGAAAATATCTTGTCCGTGGAATACAATCTGTTTCAAACTTCGTATTCACATCGACGAATATTCCAGTATGAAGTTTGAAACAGTTTGTATTTCACGGACAAGATATTTTCTGGAATATTCGTCGATGTAAAGAAAAAAAAACGAATTAGAAAAACCTTTAGTTTTTCTTCTTACAAACAGAAGAATTATCTTTTTTTTTTTAAACCAGAGAAATAGAATATTAACCGAATGAACACAAGTTAAATCTGCTATTTCGTGGAATTTTCGATTAATTATTCATGCATTTGCAACGTTTGCAGAAATACCACTAGCCCGCCCTATTCTTTTTTGTACGAAATAGGCTTAATAACAAATCTAGATAATAATATAAAAAAAAAATTAAAGAAAGTTACACAAACAGGTACAAAAAATAAATAAAAATTTTGGAAAAGAATATCAATAATGGCTAAGCGAATTATTGAAACCATGTAAACCAACGGAGTTAATAATTAAGCTGTTATTAAACCTGACTGTTCTGTATGTATATAAAGTAGACAAATGCGAAGGTGATAAAACGGAGAACTTAGATGTTGAGAAAATCACACTTAAAAACTGTTTTTTTAACGTGGTTTTTCTTTAATGAAAGTATTATTTCTTTTTTTACTTTGCCTGTTTGTACAATTCTTTTATTCCCCCGTTGTCTTTATTACCGCCACTACTTAATAACCCCCCCCCCCCCAGACTTCCAATAATATGATGTAGAACTCAGACTTAATGACGAGTGTTTAATCATGGGTTACGAAATGACACACAAAGCATAGTTTCAAATTCGATGACGAGGAACCCACTTTGAGACTAATAATGGCTGGAGACGGCTTAAATGGGTAATGAAGAAAAACTTTAATATAAGTTTAACATGACAGCAAATGTACAACGTTTCGACAAGGTTTTGTCATCATCATAGTTTCGTTAACTAATACTAATGATCACAGTAATAGGGTTTAGATCAACGTAATGTACACTTTGAGACGAAGCAGGGTATTACCTAGTGGTTAGTTAGCATCTGGTTCATGGTTCGCGTCTTGTCGCCGCAAATACACGTGTTTTTTTTTTTAAACAAGTAAACAAAATTAAATACATGTACTATACTATTTCAAATGACACATTAGCTAACTTCACCTGAAAAATTTGCCATATAAAACGGGTTAATTACCATCTTTAACTTTACCTGATAATGTGTTATACGAAACGTTAATCCAACATGGATGTTACTCATTGTGGAGTTTGTAAAGGGGGGACCAACCCCCAATAAGCCAGTGTGCAAGGAAACAACTTCAATATAGGAATTCACAACTCAATTATCCAATTTGTTTAAATTTTATTTCATAAAAATATTCATACAAAACACTTGTTCTACAATTAAAACTTTTTCCAAAATGATGCTTATATAAAACTATGAGATTTAAGTACAAAATTTAAACATGGAGATTCTTGATTAGTATTGTGCGAGATTTACAACGTGTCCAATATATCTTGTACGTTTGTCTGCTAGGCTAACAAACGTGAAGTTTTAACAGTAGAATTAATACTACGAAACTGATATACAGAAGTCTGATCAGAACCCCCACACTTAAACAACTATTCAACAGCGGTATATCTTAATAAATCAACTGATTTATAAACAAATACACAACTTTGATATTTCAGTAATAATAATAATAAAAAAAAGATCTTGTATAAATATGAGATTTACAAATACACTACGATACACTTCAACATATTGTAACACGCACAAAAATAACAATTCAATCACTACAGCTGTCCGACGATAACGATTTGGTCCCCCATAGCTAGCAAATTTAACAAAACAAGTCTAGGTTCTCCTCGCGAGACGATATCACAAAAACACGCGACTTGTAGTTACGATTATGTCATAGCATTTGATCTATAATAAAACTGGATGTTTATAAAAGATTCCAACCATAATGGTCTGCACACACACACACACACACACACAAACGCAGGAATATCCTGTATTTGTTACTCATAAAAAAAAAAAAAATCATTGCACAGCAACTAATCAAGTAATTTATTCTGTATAAACAACTTCAAAAAAAAAAAGGAACTTGTACGTACACGTATAACACAGTTGAATAGAAACGAAAGATGAAATCATTGATTTTACAATATTAAGTGAAAGTTTGTTAGAATAAATCTTAAGATTAGGGGGGGTTGTAACTTTAATCGCTGGAAGAGTACGTCCCCCCCCTTCTTTTAACATGTTAAAAAAATTCACTTTTGTTGGCAATTAGGGATTTTTTAAAACTTTAAATGAATGGGAAACAAAGCGATACAGTGTTTAACTCCCAAATTAATGTTGTAACCTGTTAAACATATCTCGGTAAAACTATCTGAAGTACAAGCACTAGTTTGTATTAACTACATCCCCACAGTCTCCCCCTCGAAGTAAGTTAAAAAGTATTGTCATACGCGTAACAATAAACAAGGCTAGTTGAATAATATATTTGACACTTGACCAGCTGGTTGAAACTTGCAACACCTGAAGAAAATCAATGATTTAGACAAGTTTTCGTACAAGAGCACACTGAACATTAATACGACATTAAAACCTAAATCGTAAGGCCAGGACACATCGCTTACCAAACAGCGCTGAAAGTAGTAACACAATAATTGCTCAAACGTTTACGAGTCTCTCTAGGTATATCTGGTAACAACCAGGATCCGGAACAATATCTATGGTAGATGGAAATACATAAAATAAATACATAAAATAAGAATAAAGTACAGACATAATCTCGGACCCCGAAATTCTCTGGATTCACATGTTAAGAAAACGGGGAAAATAAGTTTGACAATAGTTCAAAATTTACCAACTAATTAGAAACTCAAACGTTGTCGAATTCTTTTCCACTTAGCTTTCGAGCAAAATCGGTTACAACATCTCGGAAGTTGAGGGGATCAATGTTTTTGGACAAGAAGCTGAGAACCAGCCAATCACCCATTTTGCATTTATCCACGACAGATTCAAGGTAGTCTTGATTGACCAGTCGGCAGCGGGATCGCAAAATGACGAATCTCAATCTGGGTATGAATATGATGAATGCCCGGTAAACCAAAACTATACCAGAGAGGATGGCTAGTATAACGAACCAAAACCAGAGGAAAACGTAGATCTTTTCGTTTAAAATGTTGATTGGAAGTATGCACATGGCGTCGTGACGCTGGACATCGCCGGAGGAACCGTACTTGTGGAAGGTACACTTGGTCAGTCGAGGAAACACTTTGATCATTGGATCGTATCGAACTGACCAGTCCCACTCGCTGAACTGGATGACTTTGGAACCATAAGTAGAAAACTCACCCTGGAGGAAGGTGTCCATTAAGAACATCTGACCAACCACGTTGGCAAAATTCATGACCTCGGCGAGGACGTAGCATATGAAGTACATGTTGTGGTGGTTCAAATTCGCCATCAAATACTCGACCAGTAGAGAACGATTCTCGTCCTTGCTATCCTTGGGCAAAACACAAGAGTTCAGACCCAAGATGATGTTTTTTAGCCTGCCACCTTCCATAGCTTTCCAGAAGTAGCGAGGAACGTAAAACATCGCGGCTTGAAGAAATAGAACAAAGCACACCCACTGATAATAGGCATGATACACTCTTTTTTCCCCTGGTGAATAACTGTCCACTCCTGGATAAGGCACCTCGATTCCGACTTTCTTGTGCCACGCGTTTTCAACACTAAATGTTGTGTGTATCCAACAAAACGTGTCCAGCAAGTTCGTGGGAATGTCGTCTTTGGAAATACAGTCGATGGGGTCACCAATATACTGCCTGCCGGTTACCAAAAGACTACATGCCACGAGAAAGACCATTGTGGCCTTGTAGTGTAATCTAAAAACATTGTTGTCGATTATAGTATATTCAGTTTTAAAGAATCCTTTAAGACTCCCTAATATATCCATATCAACTGATAATATAACTCCTTAATATTTTAACGTAGATCACAAGTTCCTTTACAAACAGAACAACAACTAATTAGCATTCAACCCCTGCCAAAATTCCACTAGTAAGCACTGACACCCAGATGCGTAAGGGACTATTATTTATTTTATTCGTTGTATACTTTTAACCAATCACATTGCTTCCCTACTTGGTATATAATATGCATGATGCAGGGCCCCAAAAAGCCGCTATGACGAAACGAAGTTTCACAATAAATTACGTATTACAAAGTTACGGTTATTTCCATATGAAGTATACAGTTTTCTAATTGCTAGGATCGAAAAACGAAAAATTCAAATTCAAATGAAGAAGATATAAAATAACAGAATGAATATTTGAGTAGTTTTAATGTAACAGCATAGTTTATCTACTCAAATATTATTTTAAAACCACAAAATAGTAGAACTTGTAACATGCCCAATCTGCTAAGCCACCCTAACATTCTATAAAAAAAAGTCTAAAAGTTCACATTTTCTGATTTATTTAAATAACATTTTCAGGCAAATCACTTAAATTATTCACCTTGAAGAAAAGGTCCACATTCAAGAAAAGAGCTGCCCCCCCCCTCCCCCAGACTAAACAGTATGACGTTCGCCCTTTCGGCCAATTGTAAAATACGAGTGCAACAAATATTGTCTGATAATAATATTTGTGTTAATCTTAAATTAAGTAACACCTAATTAGTAAATTAATCAAGATAATCACAAACAAAATAGTATTGAAACAATTCACCCCCCCCCAAAAAAAAAATGAAAGTGCTCAAATGATTAGTTTCTTGTTTGTTGACAACAATAAATTTACATCTTTTTTTTTTTAATCCTATGTGACTTCCCAGTATTATTAATTAAGTGTGACTATAGCAAATATAATCCGATAACAGAGTTGAAACCGTTATTAATATGAACATTTACACAATTTACTAAAACGAAGTTGGTACATCAATTTGTTAGTACTTTACATGTGAGAAGCTCCCAGTGGCACAGCGGTATGTCTGCGGACTTAGAGCGCTAGAAGTTGGATTTCGATACCCGTGGTAGGTAGAGCACAGATAGCCCTTTGTGTAGCTCTGTGCTTAATTTCAAACAACAAAATGTGAGAAAATCTATACTTAAGTTAGTCGCTTTAAATTATCTCTGATAACTTACTTTCTTCGTTTTTGTTTTTAAGCACAAAGCGGCACAATAGGCTAAGTTATCTGCGCTGTGCCCGCCACGAGTATCAAACCACGATTTATAGTGTATAAACGCTATTCCACAAACAGGCGGTTTTAAATTAGTACGAACTTAAATAGAGGCGAATGACAGTGTCTCCATCTACTGGCATTAAAAGTAAATAAAATGATATTCTCAAAATGCAAAGAACAGTGAAATTAAAATGCGAATGAAATAATAATAATCTACGAAATAATATAAAAATATGTGTATACGCTAATGTAAAATAATATAAAGATATGTGTATACGCTAATGTAAAATAATATAAAGATATGTGTGTACGCTAATGTAAAATAATATAAA